AGGTATTAAGAAGTACTTGTACAGAATAAAATAATACTCATTTTTTGAAAATTATTATTTTTCATTATATGACAGGAGGGAAGATCAAATGAAGAGAATTAAGAATAACTAATTTGATTCATGTTACTCTGAATTAACTCTTCCTTTTCCTTCATCAACCTGTTTGGAAATAAAAGTCATTGAATGTGCGTGTGTATATATAAGTCCTCCCCCGGTATTCACAGGGGATTGGTTCCAGGACCCTTGCAGAAACCAAAATCTATGGAAATGGATGTTCAAGTTCCTCATAAAAGATGGCATAGTATTTGCATATAACCTATGCACATCCTCTGTATACTTTAAATCATCTTTAGATTACTTATAATACCTAATATTATACAATGTAAACGCTTTGCAAATAGTTGTTGTACTATATTTTTATATGTATTTTTTTATTGTTGTACTGTTACTTTTCAAGTATTTTTTACCCACAGTTTATTGTGTCTACAGATATAGTGGGCTCACTGTATATATTGACATTTTTTAGATTTTTGCATTTTCAAATATTATAATATTCATATCTAAATCTCAACTTTCCCACTCCCCCCACCACATAACTAAATGAACTATAAAATTTCTATTAGCCTTATCCTATCTTTGCTACATCATACTTAAAACATAATTTGCTGATTAATTTGCCATGAAAAATTACAAATAGATGAGATTTTCCTTAGGGCAACATTAGGAATAGTAGGCCTACAGCTTACTCATTGATTATAAGTCAAGGAGTGCCAAGGATTGCCAAGAGCCACTAGAAGCTAGAAATGGACAAGGGAGAATTCTTCCCTCGAGCCGCTGGAGGCAGTGTGGCTCTTCTGACACCTTGGGTTAGCACTTCTAGCCTCCAGAACTGTGAGAAAATAAATTTCTGTTGTTTTAAGACACATTTTGCATAGATGTTGTGGAAGCCTTAGGAAACTAATACAGTATGTTTTAAGGAATTTAATGTAAGCCTGTTTTACTACACATTTTTTATTTTGTCAAAATGTGATTATACTGTGCTTATCTTTTTCTCTTGTTTTTTTAACTAACACCTTTACAACTTTCCAAATTGCTACATGTATGTCTAATTCTACCTCTTTGTTTTGTACTAGCATTTTAAAAAATCTTTTATAAAGACTGTGTAAATGATTATTTTTGTTCAACTATCTCTTTGTATTGCTGGGAGTATTTTTATAGTTTAAATAACTAGAGGTAAAATTGCCTGATCAAAAGTCACATACACTTTAGACTCTGATAAGTAACAGACCTCCAGAATGATCAGACCCAATTATACTACTGTTCAAAATGGATATGTATGTGTGTATGTGTATGTGCATGTATCTGATAGCATTTAAATTTGATGGGAAAATATTAATAGGAGAAAGGTTAATGTATATTTTCAATTGACTAAACATGGAGGCTTTTGACTTATTTTCATGGTAAATAGCCAAGGGTGGGGGAACCCTTCAAGTGTTCATATTATGAAAGTGTGTCACACTATTAAATTTAAACATTAAGTAGATTTATAATTATACCTCTCTTAATGCATAGGATCACCATGTTGCTCAGTCTTTTATTATTAACATTTGTAATTTGTCTTCAGTTTCACATCTTTCATATAGATAATACAATTACTGAGAATTCAGTATTTTATTTCATTTATTAAATGAAATTGCAGCAACTATTTGTGACACCTGA